GCTTCACCAAACCTCCCGCTCCTCCCGCCCCAGCGGCCCCTGTTGTCCCTACTCCTGCCAAACCTGCAGGCCCGGCTGCCGAACCTCCAGGCCTGGCACCACCAAGCTTGCCATCAGGTGTACCTGCACCAGATAACCCTCCCTCCCGGCTACCAGCCCCCCCACCAGCAGCCCCACCTACCCCTGATCCCGCCCCTCCTGCTGCTGACGTGGCAGCTCCTGATTGGCCTGCGGCTGCAGAACCTCCCGAAGCGAACCCTTCCGTACCTGTACCCGAGCCTGCACCTGATCCCGGGCCTGCACCTGCCCCCTCCTTGCCAACCATATTCCCCCCTGCTCCTCCTCCTCCAACTCCTGCTCCTCCTGTTCCTGCTCCCCCTCCTGCTCCTCCCACTGCTCCTCCTCCTCCAACTGCTCCTCCTCCTCCTGCTGCTCCTGCTGCTGCTTGCATCTTTTTCAGCTGAGCATCACGGAACCACTTAGCAAAGCGCGGGTCAACTCCCACTGCCACTCGTGCTGCCTCGTTGGCCCTTGTTGCCTTCTCCTTCTCCTCCTCCATCTCCTTGGCCTACAGTATAAGGTACGTACAGGGGTACAGGGAACAAACTATAAGATTCAAGAATAAATGTACACGACGTTTAACATGCATCATCCACTGAAGGCTTAAGGTTCAATTGGCACAAGGTCCAAGGTCCTCCCAGCGTTCAATTGATTTCCCAGCGGACCTCACCATCCTTGACATACCTTTTGAGCTTTAATTCGGTGCTCCTCCTTCTCTTTCTCTGTTATGTTTGCTTTCTCCTTCTCCTTGCTCTCCCTCTTTGTTTCACATTCTCCCTCTGGCCCCTCTGCATCTTGAAACACCCACCTTCTGTGCCTTGATTCGGTGCTCCTCCTTCTCTTTCTCCGTCATGTTTGCTTTCTCCTTCTCCTTGCTCTCCCTCTGAAAAAAACGACCGAGGGGGTTGGGAAGCAAAACCAACGGGAGAAACGATGAAAGGTATGAGACACCTCAAGAAACAGGCTGGACAGAAACAATGGTCAGATAGACTGGGAGAAAAAACAGTAGAAAGTTGTGAGATGCATCGAGAATGGACAGGGCAAAAACAACAAAGTGGATGATCGGTGGGGAAGAAGAAAAAACAGAAAACGAACGAGAAATGCGGTGCCTCAGAACCAACCTTCCCACCTATCCCAGCACCCACCTCCCCCCAGCACTCACTTCCCCCCAGCACTCACCTCCCCCCAGCACTCACCTCCCCCCAGCACTCACTTCCCCCCAGCACTCACCTCCCCCCAGCACTCACCTCCCCCCAGCACTCACCTCCCCCCAGCACTCACCTCCCCCCAGCACTCACCTCCCCCCAGCACTCACCTCCCCCCAGCACTCACTTCCCCCCAGCACTCACCTCCCCCCAGCACTCACCTCCCCCCAGCACTCACTTCCCCCCAGCACTCACCTCCCCCCAGCACTCACCTCCCCCCAGCACTCACCTCCCCCCAGCACTCACCTCCCCCCAGCACTCACCTCCCCCCAGCACTCACCTCCCCCCAGCACTCACTTCCCCCCAGCACTCACCTCCCCCCAGCACTCACCTCCCCCCAGCACTCACCTCCCCCCAGCACCCACCTCCCCCCAGCACTCACTTCCCCCCAGCACTCACCTCCCCCCAGCACTCACCTCCCCCCAGCACTCACCTCCCCCCAGCACTCACTTCCCCCCAGCACTCACCTCCCCCCAGCACTCACTTCCCCCCAGCACTCACCTCCCCCCAGCACTCACCTCCCCCCAGCACTCACTTCCCCCCAGCACTCACCTCCCCCCAGCACTCACCTCCCCCCAGCACTCACCTCCCCCCAGCACTCACCTCCCCCCAGCACTCACCTCCCCCCAGCACTCACTTCCCCCCAGCACTCACCTCCCCCCAGCACTCACCTCCCCCCAGCACTCACCTCCCCCCAGCACTCACTTCCCCCCAGCACTCACCTCCCCCCAGCACTCACCTCCCCCCAGCACTCACCTCCCCCCAGCACTCACCTCCCCCCAGCACTCACCTCCCCCCAGCACTCACCTCCCCCCAGCACTCACCTCCCCCCAGCACTCACTTCCCCCCAGCACTCACCTCCCCCCAGCACTCACCTCCCCCCAGCACTCACTTCCCCCCAGCACTCACCTCCCCCCAGCACTCACCTCCCCCCAGCACTCACCTCCCCCCAGCACTCACCTCCCCCCAGCACTCACCTCCCCCCAGCACTCACCTCCCCCCAGCACTCACTTCCCCCCAGCACTCACCTCCCCCCAGCACTCACCTCCCCCCAGCACTCACCTCCCCCCAGCACCCACCTCCCCCCAGCACTCACTTCCCCCCAGCACTCACCTCCCCCCAGCACTCACCTCCCCCCAGCACTCACCTCCCCCCAGCACTCACCTCCCCCCAGCACTCACCTCCCCCCAGCACTCACCTCCCCCCAGCACTCACTTCCCCCCAGCACTCACCTCCCCCCAGCACTCACCTCCCCCCAGCACTCACTTCCCCCCAGCACTCACCTCCCCCCAGCACTCACCTCCCCCCAGCACTCACTTCCCCCCAGCACTCACCTCCCCCCAGCACTCACTTCCCCCCAGCACTCACCTCCCCCCAGCACTCACCTCCCCCCAGCACTCACCTCCCCCCAGCACTCACCTCCCCCCAGCACTCACCTCCCCCCAGCACTCACCTCCCCCAGTCTCCTGAGCCTCTCTCTCTCCTCCGCTGCTCTCCTCTCCTCCGCCTCCCTCTCTGCCCTCTGCATCAGCCGCAGCTGCTGCAGCGGATTCGACGTCACTTGCATCACAGGAACTGCTGCTTCTGCTGTTGCTGCTGCTGCTGCTGTTGCTGCTGTATTCGCTCCTCCTGTTGTTGACCTTGTTGTTGTTGCTGTTGCGGCCGCTGCAACAGTTGGTGCCGATGCTGGCCAAGGCGCTGTGGTGGGGCAAGGGGAGTTGGAAGAAACGGAAGTGAGGGGGAGGAGGGGAAACGGGAGGTGTGAGGGAAATTTCTTTCTTTCTTTTCCAAGGATATGTTGAGTTGTGGAATACAATCGTTTCGCATCATACAAGGCACTTTGGTTATGGAAGGAGTAGAGAGACAAAGGGAGAGAGACACTCAGATGGGCTGACAGTCTCGAGAGTGCTGCGAGCAGTGAGTGCATTCGCCTTTTTAGGGGTCCCAACAGCGTGCTAAGAGAGATAGGTACTGAGTGCGTGCCATCAAGACCAGTGGGGACGCATGCACAGGAGAGGGAATGAAACACTCACATGGGCTGACAGTCTCGAGAGTGCTGCGAGCAGTGAGTGCATTCGTTCCTCTAGAGCCTGTGGAGTGGTGAGGCACGACACAGAGAGGAGAGGATAGAAGCAGGTGAGAGTGGAAAGAGTTGAGTGAGAAACAGGAGGGTGAAAGGGCAAGAGTGCTGCGAGCAGCGAGTGCAATCGCTCCACTAGAGCCTGTGGAGTGGTGAGGCACGACGCAGAGAGGAGAGGATAGAAGCAGGTGAATGACTATCAGACAGCAGGGGCAAGAGAGTTGGACAGCTTGTGCACAGCCTGCATGTCCATTCGCTCCTCCAGGGCCTGTGGTGAGAGAGGGGAGAGGCAGGTGACGGGCTGGGGAGAGTGCAGGGGCAAGAGAGTTGGTAAGCTGGTGACTCATTGCGTGCATTCTCTCTTCGAAAACCAGCGGTGGGACACGATGCAGAGAGGAGCGAAGCGAGCGAGATAACACGGTGTAGATTTTCACGTGCACCGAAGGCTCATCGATATACAAAGTCTACTAGATTCACCCCATTCCAGGTACCCACTTCGGCCATCGTATTGGCAAGTTACAGTATTAGGCACATATACTACTCACCCTTGAGAGGCACACATAAACTGCGTCACTGATAGTGCGAAGCCCAGCCTTGGAAGCTGAAGGAAGGCGGGTGGGAAGAGGGGAGGTGGGAGGGGCGCAGAGAGGAGGGAAGGGAGGGGGAGAAAGGTGAAGAGACGATGGCAAAATGAGAGGCACACATAAATGGTGTCACTGACAGTGCGAAGCCCGACCTTAGAAGCTGAAGGAAGCGGAGTGGGAGGTAGCGTGGGGGGGAGGGGAGTTAGGGAGGGGAGGGGAGTTGGGGAGAGAGAAGGAGTGAGGGTAGGAAAGGTCAAGTGAGACGACAAATGCAAGAGCGTGAAAAAGAGGTGCAATCGTCCAAACGTCAGAAACCAGAGTTTTAGGAAAAAAACAAAACAATTCAAGCCGTCTGTATATCGGATGCTCCTCCTTCCTGATATAATGTCCGAACATGCGATTATCCTGGAGGTCCGCTGCAAAGGTCCTTCCCACGTGAAGAGTTGTCAACTCAGGGCATGACGACGCAGTGTCGAGATGCTCGACGCGTCGTCATGCCCTGAGTTGACGACTCTCCATATAAGCCATCTCCGCACCATTTGCCCATTCAAATATCCTCCCAACCGCACAACACCCATGCACCTATCCAATCCACCACGTCGCGCAGCAAGGGTCGGTCCATCAGCAGCCACTGCTCCTCTTCCCAAGCAGCCCAATTACCACACACACCTACTCACTTATCCTCCCAACCACACCACAACCACTCACCTATTTGCCCCACCACAGCGCACAGCACCGGTGGGTCCATCAGCAGCCGCTGCTCCTCCTCCTTTGCCATGCGCCTCCATGCCTCCGCCTGCACCTTCTGCTGTTGCTCTGCGTGACTATTTTTTAGACACCTAAAAAAAAGGCGCCTAGAGAGACTCCCACTCTCCACCCCACCTCAAAGCCCTTCCCCTACCCAACCCCAGTGGTACACTCACCAACCCTCCCACCCCCAGCTGCCCACGCATCTATCCGCCCCACCACGGCGCACGGCAGCAGTTTGGTCCAGCAGCAGCCGCTGCTCCTCCTCCCTCACCGCTGTTGCTGCGTCTGTACGTCCCTACCGAGGATTCCACAGCTGCCCACTCACCTATCCTCCAAGCTCACGCACCTATCCTCCCAACGACAGCCCGCAGCAGCGGTCGGTCCATCAGCAGCCGCTGCTCCTCCTCCCCTGCAATGCACCTCCTGGTGCTGCTGTTCGTCCCTAGACTAGAAACGCTCCCACACCACACCAAATCCCACCTCACAGCACCTCACCTATCCGCCCCACCACGGCGCGCAGCAGCGGTCGGTCCATCAGCAGCCGCTGCTCCTCCTCCCTCGCCATGCGCCGCCATGCCTCCCCCTGCACCTTCTGCTGCGCATCCCCCGCCACCGCCATCGCTAACAGCTGCTCCTCCTCCTCCTGTGAGGAGAAAGAGGGAGCAGGAGGGACATAAAGACACAAAGGAGACAGGAAAGGGGGAGTTGACCTCTCTTGCTCTCGTTATGCATGCGCCGCCATGCCTCCCCCTGCACCTTCTGCTGTGCATCCCCCGCCACTGCCATCGCCAGCAGCTGCTCCTCCTCCTCCTCCTCCTCCTCCTCCTCCTCCTCCTGCAATGTTGTGAAAAAGAGATGAACAAACAGCGGGAAGGGGTGAAATACTGCCCCCATTGCCTCTCTCTCTATACATTCGTCCAGGGATGGCTGGCAGCGGGGGGAGGTGAGAGTGAGGAAGATTCAAAAATCTGAAGGGTGAGCGGAATAAAAATACAAGCAGACACCCTCTAGGTGACTTTTGAGTCGACTCAAAAGTCACCTGGGGAGGTGAGAGTGAGGAAGATTCAAAAATCTGAAGGGTGAGCGGAATAAAAATACAAGCAGACACCCTCTAGGTGACTTTTGAGTCGACTCAAAAGTCACCTGGGGAGGTGAGAGTGAGGAAGATTCAAAAATCTGAAGGGTGAGCGGAATAAAAATACAAGCAGACACCCTCTAGGTGACTTTTGAGTCGACTCAAAAGTCACCTGGGGAGGTGAGAGTGAGGAAGATTCAAAAATCTGAAGGGTGAGCGGAATAAAAATACAAGCAGACACCCTCTAGGTGACTTTTGAGTCGACTCAAAAGTCACCTGGGGAGGTGAGAGTGAGGAAGATTCAAAAATCTGAAGGGTGAGCGGAATAAAAATACAAGCAGACACCCTCTAGGTGACTTTTGAGTCGACTCAAAAGTCACCTGGGGAGGTGAGAGTGAGGAAGATTCAAAAATCTGAAGGGTGAGCGGAATAAAAATACAAGCAGACACCCTCTAGGTGACTTTTGAGTCGACTCAAAAGTCACCTGGGGAGGTGAGAGTGAGGAAGATTCAAAAATCTGAAGGGTGAGCGGAATAAAAATACAAGCAGACACCCTCTAGGTGACTTTTGAGTCGACTCAAAAGTCACCTGGGGAGGTGAGAGTGAGGAAGATTCAAAAATCTGAAGGGTGAGCGGAATAAAAATACAAGCAGACACCCTCTAGGTGACTTTTGAGTCGACTCAAAAGTCACCTGGGGAGGTGAGAGTGAGGAAGATTCAAAAATCTGAAGGGTGAGCGGAATAAAAATACAAGCAGACACCCTCTAGGTGACTTTTGAGTCGACTCAAAAGTCACCTGGGGAGGTGAGAGTGAGGAAGATTCAAAAATCTGAAGGGTGAGCGGAATAAAAATACAAGCAGACACCCTCTAGGTGACTTTTGAGTCGACTCAAAAGTCACCTGGGGAGGTGAGAGTGAGGAAGATTCAAAAATCTGAAGGGTGAGCGGAATAAAAATACAAGCAGACACCCTCTAGGTGACTTTTGAGTCGACTCAAAAGTCACCTGGGGAGGTGAGAGTGAGGAAGATTCAAAAATCTGAAGGGTGAGCGGAATAAAAATACAAGCAGACACCCTCTAGCCACGTGAAAGAACAGAGGTAACCTAGGAACAAGAGGCTTCAAGGGGGCTATTTTTGTGTCGACTCAAAAATAAGAACAGAGGTGACCTAGGAACAAGAGGCTTAAGCATAAAAAACGAAAACTCACCCTGAGGTTCACCCCGCTGACTGCTGTGACGTCATTAAGCTGCTCTATCCCATCGCTGTCTGGCTTGGGCTTCTTGCTGTGCGCACACAGGGGTACAGGGGAGATGGGGGAAGGGATGAAGAGGGACGGGGGACGGGGAGGGGGAGGGAGAGTTATGAGGGAGGGAGTCGAACTGGAAAGGATGCCTCTGCTGAATACTTGCCGCAAGTGGCAGAGTGAGTGTTCGAGTCATTTGAGTGCTGAGATGAATTCTAAACGGTTCTGGAAATCCTAGAGAATAGGGAATTTCTGAGAGGGATTACTGTGCTGAAATGAAACCTGGATAATTTTTAAGCACTCACAGAGGGGGTTGCCCTGGCGCGGATGCGTCTGCTGGATGCTTGCTGCCGGGTGGCTGAGAGGCTTGAGAGCCTGGGGGCTGTGGTTGGGGTTTGGGAGGTTGGAAGAGAGATGGGAGGATACGGAAACGAGGAGAGTGGTACTGTGAGGAGAACATAAGTAATGGTGCACAACAGAACACCGAGGGTCAGCGAGGGCGGGCCCCAGGGGAAGGGGAGGAGAAGGGGGACGGGGGAGGAGGTGGGGGAGGAGGCGGGGGAGAGGATGAGAGGGCGAACCTGTGGTCCTGCTGCTGTAGAAGGCTTGGCTGGTGTAGCCGCCCCTGTACCTGTTGCTCCTGGTCTGCCTGGTTGGGCAGCCGTAGCATCAGCTGCTGCAGCAGCAGCAGCAGCAGCACCACCAGCAGCAGCAGCACCAGCACCAGAACCGCCAGCAGCAGCACCAGGGGCGGCGGTGGTGGAAGGAGCAGGTGCGGCTGCAGCACTAGAGGGCATAGCGCCGCCGTCGCTCTCTGTCAGCCTCAGCCGCTTCACCTCCGGTTCCTCCTCTCTTCTCAATCCCCCTGCCGCCCCTGCTGCTGCCCCTCTTGCTGCTACTGCCCCCGCTGCTCCCGCTGCTCCTGCCCCTCCTGCAGCTGCGGGTGTCTTTCCTCCTACAGCTCCTACTGCTCCTGCTGGAGCTCCATCCTCTAACTTGACTGCTGCTCCACCTGCAGCAGTTGTACCAGGAGCAGCAGCAGCCCCAGCACCACCAGCACCACCAGCGCCAGCAGCACCGGCAGCACTTGCAGCACCAGAAGCAGCAGCAGCAGCATCAGGCGCTCCCCCAGCAGCAATCCGCTTCTTCTCCTCCTCTTCCGCCTTTCTCTTCGCCTCCTCCTCTCGCTTCTTCGCCTCTTTTCTCAACTTCGCTTTCTCATACTTGGTCAACGGCCGACCTCCAGGCGTCCCAGCAGCAGCACCGCCAGCAGCGGCTGCATGTGCAGGTTTCCCACCTGCGCCTGCTTTACCTCCTGCTCCTGCCCCAGGTTTTCCCCCAGTCGCCTTTGCCCCAGGTGCACTGGTACCTGCATCGTTTGCTGCTGCTGCCCCTGTCCCTGCTACCCCTCCTGCTGCTGCTGCTGCTGCTGCTCCTCCTGCTCCCGCCCCTGCCCCTGCCCCTGCTGCTCCTCCTGCTCCTTCTGCAAGCACTTTACCAGGAACCGCAGCAGCACCCCCCACTGCCGCTGCTGCTGCTGCTGGTAATGTTGCAGCCACACCTGCTGATGCTGCCTCTCCCACTGCTGCTGCTGTAGCAGTCACACCAGCACCTGGGGGGACTTGACCCATAGCTACACCTGCAGAAACCCCCTCCTCCTTCCCATCCATACCAACTCCCGACCCTGCCCCTGCTGAACCTACATGTGGGCTCGGAACCCCAGCCTGGAGCAGCACCGAGCCTATCTCCCCTGGTCCCGAACCTACATAAGCGGGGTGGGGACCGGATGGGTGCGGCACAGCTGCAGGTCCGGCAGGGTATCCGACCCCAGGCTCTAGCTTCGGGATAAGGGAGACTGCAGGGCGAGGTATGGGGTACGGAGAGGTGTGGAATGCTTGGGAGGGGTGGGAGGGGTGCGAGGGATGGGGGCCCATGGTTGGTCGGAGTGGGGGGGATTGCATGGGGTGGTAGGGTTGTGGCTGACCCATAGTCATGGCTACTCCTGCTCCTGGTTCAAGCTTCGACCCTGGTAACTGCTGCTGCATCTGCTGCTGCTGCTGCTGCTGCTGCTGATGCTGCTGCTGCTGATGCTGCTGAAACGCTGTCCCTCCCTGCATTTCCCCCAACCCACCTGCCCCAACACCCACTCCCCTAGCGCCTGCCCCATTCCCCACACCACCACCAGCTGTACCTGCCCCAGTTCCACCCACCCCAGTCCCAGCTATCATTCCCCCACCTGCCGACCCTGCTCCCAACCCTCCTTGCTCAGACCCAGGCCCGGCCGAGCCTGCTCTCAAGCCTGCTCCCGAGCCTGCTTCTGATCCCAAGGCTGCTGCTCCGGCTGTTGCTGGTCCTGCTACAGATGCGCCGGCTGTAGCAGGAGGTGCAAGGGAGCCTGCAGGAGTGGAGTGTGGTGCCACGTGGTTGTTGGTTGCAGCAGCTTCTGCTGCCATTTGCTCCTTCATTTGCATAATCTTCTCTCTCTGCAGGGAATGAGAATTGAAGAAAGAAGGAATTTTTTTTCACTCGACTCGAAAAGCAGCAGCTGCTGCTGCCATTTGTTCGTGACGCTCCTTCATATGCATCATCTTCTCCCTCAGCAGGGAATGAGAATCGAAGAGTGAGGGACAAAAGGGAAGGTGTGGTGAGAGCGGAGAGGGAGCAGGGGGGAGCGAGGAGAGAGGAGGGAGGAGGGAGGAGGGAGGAGGGAGGAGGGAAGAGGGAGGAGGAGGAGGAGAGGAGGATAGAGGAGGGACGAGGGACGAAGGAGGAGGGGGGAGAGGACTTCAATGCATTGCATGCCGCTGAAAATGGGGTTCAACGCTTCCCTCACCTGCATTGCACTCTCCCACCTACTGGTAGGGCTGAGCAAAGTAACTAACACCTGTTCGGTTCGCCTCGAATTCTTTTTTAGCTTAAAGTGTTCGTGACAAACGGGTTCGAGGTTCGCCCGAACACGTTCGTGTTCGGCCGCTGCTGAAATTTGCCCCATGACGAACACGAACGTGTTCGAGGTTCGCCCGAACACGCCTTCACAGGCGAACACCGAACATCTGTTTCAGCGAACGGCGGTGTTCGTGCAGGGACGAACACGAACACGTTCGTGTTCGCCCCTTGCTCACCCCTACCTACCGGCACCTACCTGCACCGCTCTCTCCCACCTACCGGCACCCACCTTCACCATTCCCTTCCACCCTTCCACATACGTGCACCTACCTGCACCGCTCTCTCCCACCTACCTGCATATACCTGCACCGCTCTCTCCCACCTACCTACTGCATGAGCTGCTTGAACACGTGCCCGCCACAGAGGCGTTCAATGCGGTTGTACCTGGCTGAATGCGATTAAATGGGGTTGCACGCGTCTCTCACCTGCATCTACTTGCATTCCCCAACGCACCTGCACCTGCTGCATGAGCTGCTTGAACAAATTCAAGCCAGAGAGTCCCTGAATGGCCTGAACGAACTTCTAGGTCTAGGCGTGGTTTGGGTAGACTCAAAATGTACCCACTTACCTGCACCTACCTGCACCTACATGCACCTCTCTCTCCCACACACCTGCACCTGTTGCATGAGCTGCCTGAACACACTCACGCCACAGACACTCTGAATGGCCTGAGCGTACCTCTAGGTGCATTTTCAGTCGCCTCAATGGTACAACAACCTACCTACACCTACCTGCACCTACCTGTACCTACTTGCATTCCCCTACGCACCTGCACCTGCTGCATGAGCTGCTTGAACACATTCAAGCCACAGAGACCTTTGATGCGGTTGAATGCGGTTGAATGGGGTTGCACGATTCTCACCTGCACCTGCTGCATGAGCTGCTTGAACATATTCATGCCACAGAGAGCCTGAATGGCTTGAACGAACTTATCCTTGGAAATCTTTTGCCCCTGCGAGCGAATGGCAGGGGGACAAGACAATGTGGGAATGGAACGATGTGGAAAACGGGGACAATCCATTGAATTGAACGGCCTGAACGAACTTCTACATGAATATCTTTTGCCCCTGCGGGCGGCAGGGAGGGAGAAGGCATGGTGTGGGGACAAAAATAAGGAATTGATGATCACTGAGACCGACTCAAAAGTCAACACGTGCCCCGCCACCGAGACCCGAAACGGCCTGAACGAACTTCTCCTTTGACATATGTGCTCCCACGAGCGGCAGCGGGACCAGAGATGTGGGAATGGAACGATGAAAGCAGGGACCGTCTATTTAATTGAACGGCCTGAATGAACTTCCCCTTGGATATCTTTTGCCCCTGCAAACGGCAGGGGGTCGTACCGTGGGAATGAGACGATGGGGATGGGAACATGTGCGGATGAAATGGGTGGGTAGGTAGAGCG